GCTAGCCGGTGTCTTAACGCGGAATTGTCGGTAGGTCATGTGCTGGCCATGTCAGATATTTTAGTACTATTTTTCTGTTTTCCTCTCAGACGAAAAGCAGCAATATTTTGTGTACCTATGAGTTGGTTCAAGAAATAAATCATTTAGATCTCTGCAGGTATGTCATTAGGAACTTTTTGTAATGTGTACTACCGAACAAAAGTTTCATATTATTCTTCCATTCGGTACTAAGAACTAATACTACTTATGGCTATAATGTAGATTTTGGAGGAATATGCTTTTAAATTTGTGTTTTATGTGTCTATCAGTAACCTCCATGTTCAGAACGCATTTGTGCCCCAAACTTTCAAGTAATGAGTCAACTGCATCACAGTATAGAAAAAATAAAATTTTAGAAAATTAGGCATTTTAAGTATAATTCTTGAAGTACTTCAAGAAAACTGCTCGGTTTTGTGCTTGCTCCAAGATCTCAAACATCTAATCTTGAGAGCACTATCATAGTCTAAGTTTTAACAGATCACGATCTTGAACAATATCATTTATGCAAAATTCACCGGAAAGATCTCATGCTGATAAGGATAAATAAAATAACTTCTGAGACAAGTACTTTAGTAGAAATTTCTATCCGAAACATTTGGAGCCTGATAGCTTTCATAATAAAAAGTAACACCGTATTTAAATTTAAAAAAATTTTCCTGCAATAAAACCACTTTGAATAAAGTAAAAATATAAAAATTATTTCTCAGAGTCATACCGAAGATGAGGTGAATAAGAGACTTGTCTGAAATAAATAAATAAGAATTAAAACGCACTTCTTACAATTTACTAATGTGATGGTAGTTGAAAATTATTTACGGAAAGCAATTTTGAGGTTTGCGTTATGTTTTAAAATTTTTTCACGATTCTACATGGTACTCATTAATATCATTGAATGGAATATACGAGGACCATCCAGAAAATAAAGATTGTTTAATTATACAAAATGAAAAACCAATTATTTATTGGGCTTCCTCAACTTTCCACGATCACCACCTTCATTTAACATTTGCCGTATCTGTTCACGAGCTTCAGCATTCCCATGGTATACTCTTCCGCCGCCAATTCACTAAAACAGGTGGTCACTGCCCTCAAAGCTCAGCATTGACATTCTTGACACGATATCACATATACGGAAAAGACTTTTTGATCGGATTGTGATTGGTGATGAGATTTGGGTGTGTCATATCTCCCCAGAGAGTAAGCGCCAATCATTTGAGTGGCATAATCCATCATCATCCAAAAAACCGAGAAAATTCAAACAGACTCTCTCAACACGAAAGGTCATAGCAACCGTCTTTAGAATCGTAAACGTGTTCTTTTGGTGGATTTCATGCCAAAAGGCACTACGGTCAATGCAAATTGTTATTGTGAGACTCTAAGAAAATTACGGCGAGTCATCCAAAAGAGGAGGCGACGAATGATTTCTGGAAGAATTGCACCTCTTCATGCCAATACTCGCTTTTACACTGCTGCAGCATCTCAAGAGTTTCTATATCGATTCGGATGGAAAATTTTGGATCATCCACCTTATAGCCCATACCTTGCTCTTAGCGAGTTCCACATTTTCCTTAAGCTGAAAGCGTTTCTGGTCTGTAAACCTTTTCAAAGCGATGAAGATATGGAGAACGCAGTGACAACGTGGCTTAATGAACTAACGGCGAAATAGTATAACATTGAAATTCTGAAGTTCGATGACCTAATACGACAGATGTTTAAATGTAGAAGGCGATTATGTAGAGAAAGGAAGGAAGCTTCAGGTACGCAACAAAGTTGCTTTTTCAAATAAATACTGTGTTTTTTTATTTTGTATAAATAAACTGTCTTTATTTTCTGGATGACACTCGTAAAAATACAGGGTAGTTAGTGTAGGTTTGTTTAGATAGTGTCTGTATAATTAAAACTGTATTTGCAGTACGTAATATAAACTCTGTTGGTTCTTAATGCTTATATAATAGCTCAAAATATACGAAGAAAAGAAATTAAAATGATTTAGAATTTAATAATTCTGTAATCAGAAAAATAGAAAAATGAATAATATTTTTTCGGACATATTGTAGAGACATTTACACCACGAAGGCATGCTAAGAAGGAAGGAGAAATATCTTATATACTCCCATTTTTAAAGGGCGACTGGGGTTTAGCGGACGCAATCGCCAAATCCTGGGTGTGGAGAATCATCATCCACCACTCTTTTTTAGTTCAAGCGCCACTGTAGAGACATTAGGTATTTGGAAGCAAGAGAGATGAAAAATGAGCAACGCCTTCTCCGGGAATCGAACCACGGACGTCTGGAATACGCACCCAGCATGCAAACTACTACACCACGAAGGCACGCTAAAAAGGCGGGACTAATATCTTATAATATATATACAACAATATGGAAAGCCTGAACACGTAGGTGCTGAAGCATGAAAGCTCTATGTGGTCAAGATGAATCCTTAGTTCAAGAATGAACAGCTTTCGCTTTCAGTGTCATCTGATTGGCTTGTTAGTGAAGTTCTAAAATTATTTCTGACTGTTTGAGCTTCGGTTCGCAAAACGTCAACCAGCGTTACGTAAAAATCATATGACGTGAATTAATCTGGATATAACGCGGTCCAGAAATGTTATTATAAACAATTATTATTTTCAGAACACAAAGGGGAAACAAACAAATTAAAATGAAAAGGGGCTACATATATATATGATCAATTTTCCAGCATACTGCGCACAGACATATATAATATTCCAATCACGTAGAAAGCAAACATTAAATCAGTATCAGACAAATGCATAAAGTACTGTAAATAATTTCATAGTGTCTTAACCTAGGAATTACATTAAAGATCAAATCAAATATTTGAATCTCATAGTAATCTAAACATTTCAATCTTCAGTGTTCGGAAAATATTCTAACGAAAAATATCATTAAATTGCAATGACAAGAAAGTAAAAGAATAAAGTATACGATTTTTAAAATCAGGTTATAAAAAATAAAATCTGTTTTTTAAATACAGGTGCATTTTTACCATCTTCATAATGTTATAATATTCATTTTTCGCATAAAATACGTTAAAATCATTACTTGCAGCGTTATTACTTAATACAAAATTCTTAACTTTTAATTAGCTTTTACACCTAAACGCATTTTTTGTAGTAAGCATTTTCAGTGTAAATCGCATAATTAGTGTGCAGTAACGTGCTTAAAATGTTTGTTACAAGTTAAGGGGGAGGGAATGCAGTTTTTCACTTCGTTTCAGAAATGGTTTTTATTAGAAAGCTAGATAAATAATAATTTCGGCATATAACAGTTTTCTTTGCTAATGCTAATGCTGCAAATGGTTTTTTCCTTTCATTTCATTTTAAACTGTATAATTAGTTATTAATACTTAAGATTGTTTAAAAGAACAGCAACACACATGCGAAATAAAATCTTAGTTAATAAAGGTAAACCATGTTCCAACTTTCGTACATTAATAAATATATCGGTGCAGTACAAATATTTGAAGTCAAACGACTAAATCGAATAATAAACCTTTCTGACTCGGCTCTAAGAGTAGAAAGAACGCTTTCCTGGGCACAAATGGTTAGAATTTTTACCGTCTGTTTTCAAGAAATTTCAATCCTCTCAATAAAAAAATAGCATGTTTGTATATAAATTTGGCCATTTGCATACATGAACAGTAAGATTCACTTTGCGAAAAGTACAAATAGCCTTTTCTTACAAGAGAATAAACTCTGAATGAATTTGGAACTAGACGGAATTTTTGTAATAAAAGTTGAAGCAGATATATTTTCAAATAATTTTCTCATTTCAATCTCCAAAGTTACATTTAGAAAAGTCGATAAACATTTAAAAGGGCAGTTATTACTGAAGAAAGAAAACCATACATTTTCTGCAGGGTTATAAAAGAAAATGTTACTCATTTTAAGGTAAATCTTAACTTATTTGGAAAAATACAAATTAAGTTGAAATAAATAGCAAATTCATTATTCACAATGCCCATAAAATCCATTAAATATTGATATTTAAGGAAAACGATTGTTGAGAGAATTACGTAAAATTATATTTTGCAGACAATATTTAAAACCATGTTTTAAATATTTAAAACCATGTAAAAATATTTAAAATTATGTTTAAAACCATGTTTAAAACCATGTTTTAAAGATATATTAAGCGTAAAGCCCAAATTTCTTAACACCGCGAAACGTTAGAATTCTAGTTACAAAACGAGTATTTTACAACACGAAGCATTTTACAACACGAAATTTGTAAACTCTTTCTTTTTTTTTTTTTTAATCTCTGACTTGGGAACTACGACTAAAATATTCTAAAAAAGAAATAAACGGTAATGAAAATGTGCAATCGCATAAAAGGCAATTTGTGCATTACAAAAGCAAACCCTAAGATAGCAAAAGAAATAAAACAGGGTTCAAACAAGCCTTCATGAATAATCAAGAGAGCAGGGAAGAAAAGCACGAAAAAACATTTTTTTACATACATATCAAACAAAGGAAATTTTCATTTGCATACAAAGCTAAGAGATTTTCTCCGACTTACATAGAAAGTAATTAGTAAATTTTTTTGCATCTACTAACGCTTTGCGCAGCAGAACGATTCCATAGAAAAAGTATAATAGTTATTTAAAACAAAGATTTTTTTAGCAGCGTCGCTGCATACGATGCTTATGTTCGCCATGAAGTGAAAATATAATAATAAACAAAGAGCATAATAAAATTCTCCTTCTCTTTTTTTTCTCCTAACTTTTCTAGTTTTCCTTCTCTAACTGCTAATTTTCATTTAGAATATGCATTTGAAAACGTTGTATATGACTTTTCTTCGCAAGAGAAATGTAAAGCATAAAATGTAACCGCTTCCAATTAAGATTATGTATTACGAAATTTCTCAGTTAATGTGAGAACACAAAATGGAACCAAAAGAAAAACAAAGAAAGCGAAATAAATGATATTTACAAACTTACTTTGTTATGCTTTTGAATTATTCGGAGAAAAAGTTGCTCTGCGAAAGATAGCGAACTTCCAGGTAAACTTCCAAATTTAATTTATGTAGACGACGAAGCGCGTATTGAGATTATCGAATCTAAGCGACTAACTTTTATAGCCGGACAACCTGACTTTTATGTACTCTCCTCCTCTTCTCCCACCCCACCCCCTTTAACGAAACTGAAAATCTATTCACACGAAATAGACTGAACCTACAGTGGAATATTTCTTCCAAACTAAGTTCCGCCCCTTTGCCAATTGTCATGCGCCGATGAGATTACGTCATTTAATCGCAAAAGAATCGTCCCACGCGCTCTTTTGGCGACTAAAGAGAATGGTAAAATACTTCAAGCGCTTTGCAGCTGAGATATATAATTCCTAATTAGTTTTAATTGCTTAAGACTAGAAAATTCATTTGTTAACAATGACACTGTAATTAGGACTGGTAAAATGCAACAAATACAAATGCTCGCTTAGAAGAAAATTTCTGTTTTTCAGTACTAATTTTATACCTTGATTTCTGAAGGAAAGGGGAAATTGAATTAAAAATAGCAGAAACTGAATTTTCCTCAAAAACTGAACTTATGAACATCACCAAATATTGCACACTTACTGAAGACAAAAGATAACTATATAGCAGTTTTTTTTAGTTCTTTGTGGAAAATAGCTTTCCTATTTTACACAATCACTTACATATAGGTTAGTAAGAATTTTCAAAGGCAAAGAAGTAAAATGAAAAATTCAGTTAATTTAGGGTGGTGGAATAAAAAGATTTAAAAATGATCGCCTTTCAGGTTTTTGAAACCTCTAACCACAATAATTCGTTCTTCATTTACTCTAACAAGTAATTCATCTTGAATTTAAAGTACGAATACCAACTGATTCAAATTCTACTCATAATTTATGCAGCGTAGAATGTTGTACTGTTATTGTGATATATCTGACTATAACATCAAATCAAATCCGCTAGTTATTCGTGATCTAGATTCCCTGTGATCTAGCAAGATCTTGAGCGCAATATAGGTAATAGTACGAATTTGCCCGACTCAGTTCCAGTTTTGAAGCAAAATTACGCGAGAGATGGATCCGATGGTCTCCTAGTCCGCTTCATCTTCATCAATCTCTCGAGAGGACTTTCTGCTCAACAGTATTTTAAATTCTCCCATGCTATACACTTTCAAACAACCACGCCTTTTGCTATCGCAGCTGGCTTCCTTACCACCATGCCATCCGCCCAGACGGTATAGCGGTTAGTAAAACTGACTCTGTACCAACGGGCCCGGGTTCGAAACCTGGAGAAGGAATGGATTTTTTAAGCATACAGTATCTGCGCGGCAAGCAGGCACTAAAAATACACCACGAGTCGAAAACCTCTCAAAAGGCTGGTGGTAGAAGAAGACTCTCGGGCCGCTCCCTTCAGAGCGTTCTCTTTCCGTATTCCAGAATAGAGCGGAAGCTAACAGTGAGCTAGGTACAGCAATACCTCAATCACCTATGGTACCATAGAAGTGTTGGCCTAGCTTCTACCTGTACCTGTACCACCATGCCAACCTAATTACAATATAAAATGTAAATGTCTTTGCAAGCAAACTTTGACCCTCACTTTAAATCATAGGCCAATAAGCAAGAAGAAGGCGTCTGGATCCATTTCCGAATTTATTGGTCAGCCTTTTTTTATACTTGGAAACTATTATACTGTGCATTTACTTCTACTACACTATTAGTATTATAATACCCTAAAACAGACAGAAACACAAAAAGTGTTACCATTTTCGGTTGGCGATAAAACAATAAAAAATAAGAAAAGGAATGAAATCTCTTAAAAAAGACCATGATAACATAGATCATTTAAAAATTAAATTCTTTTTAAGTTGTTTTAATTTTATAGAGCAAGAGAGATACAGTTTCCTGAGTTGCTTACAGTTCAATTTACGTTTCCTTACAAGAGGAATGAAATAATAATTATTTACTTTTATTACATTAAAAAAATTTTCCCTTTTTACTGCGAACTCGTTTTGAAATTTTAGACTATAACATGAAGAATTCAGGTGTAAACTAAACATTTGAAAATAATTCTTTAAAACAATGTGGAATACCGAAGAGAAAATCGTGCTAATTCACGGTTAAACATATTTCAAGGAATATATTTGAAAAATTTATTCCTTTTAACGAGCTGGCTTACTATTCAATTACGAGGGCTTAGTAAATAAAAGTTGATAATAAATACCGAAATAATGTTTATAATAAAGTATTATAATGAATTTCTATTATTAAATAGTCGCTATAATTTATTTTTAAAATTATTCAGTGCTATTTTCGATATTAAGCTACATGAGTTAGTCTAAGTTTCGCCCTTCCACTTTTTCAGAAATATACTTATCTAATATTAAGATTCAAAGTTCATTGCTCTATAAGCTAGAAGAAAGAAATCGTACATACATAGCTGAAGCAATGCCTTCATGGAGGAATTTCTCAGAGATATCTACTTTTCTTTAAGCTTCGATATCAGAACTCTAATAATTATATTTACTTATAAAACTTTACTTATATATATATATATATAAAAGAAAGAATTGAGAATTGTTGAAATAAGAATTGAGACATAGAAGAATAAACCTCTCATCAGAATTAATAAATATCAGTTAAAGATTGTCTCATGTATAACGTAATGAGTCCGTACCAGACCATATTAGATCAGCATAAACTGATTACCAAGCCAATATGCTTATGTTTTGAGTTCCGAGTAGATGTTTGCAAATGCACAGTGTTTTTGAGAAATAAGGCATTTAACGTATGTCGATCCGAAATTCTTTCGAGAGTTTAGTGGTAGGGAAAGAAGACGCAAAAAGACAATAAGATTTATTTCCTAGGGGTGTTTAAACTGATCGAAAGTGAGATAGAGATGAGGAAAGTAGTTCTGTCACTACAATTACACAAAGGCATTTATTTAAAAAATAAGGGGATACATGACACTACCTGTGAAGATTCACGAAACTGTTCTAGTGCTTATGACCCCGGAAATGAGGGATAATCTAGAAAAACAAAGCACGTAACTGCGAGATTAAAATTATTAAAAATATTTCATGTTTACTGAGCAGAATTAAAAGACGATCAACAATATAAGGGTCAGTCTGCTATAATATGCTTAAAAAATTACCGAATTCCATGCGTATTAAAAATTAATTTAGCAAAAATGCTATAGTAATTCAGAAGTCAAACAACAAAAATCAGCGTTAATTTACAAAATTTTCACAGGACTAGTTTCGATGGTTTTACCGAACCATCATCTTCAGCTGCAAAACCGCAAAGCCTCTTAGTATATTCATTTGCCAGCCTCTTAGTATATTCATTTGCGGTTTTGCAGCTATCGAAACTAGTCCTGTGAAAATTTTGTAAATTAACGCTGATTTTTGTTGTTTGACTTCTGAATTAGTATTTATTCGGCGTGTTATTGTGTCTTAAAAAATGCTATAGTTTAGTATGTTAATTTACTGCCCGATTTTCGCTTGATGTAAATCAAACAAAAAGGCGGGTTTCTTTTCTCTGGTGCATTATCAGACGCTATTTTGCTGGGAGACACAATAGGCTTGCTATTCAACAAGTTAAGCTATACTTTATAATTTTACGTATTATAATTTTTGTTAATAAATATTCCATGTGATTGAGTCAATAACTGCTTATCTTCTCTTGTTATTCCTTCTTCTGGACACCTTCAAAAATAAATCCTTTCATTATTTCCATATTTTTAATATACACTGCAGTATATTAAGTGTAAGTTTAAGAGCCTACGACGAAGAAAATTGTTTAGTGATTAAAGCTTTTTATTCATGCAAACAGACAGTTTTAGATATTGAAATTTTTATAGTTCAAAAAAAATCTGTGACATAAAATGTCAGCCTCTTAGTATATTTCACTTCGATCGCCATTTTGATATTAATATTTTCTGGTTGCCTGATTGAAAAAAACTGAAAAAACTGAAAAGGAAACAAAAAACTTCACAGCATAATTGTATTCGTATATATAACAGATGTCTAAAATGGCTTAGCATCTTATTGATAGGAATTATCTTAAAGAATATTTTGTACTGAAATTAGAAAGTAAAGAAATCTCTATCATCATTAGGTTTGTATTTCAAAACCGATTTTAAACTACATGTAATTTAGGATACAAAATTTAAGTACAGTCGTAACCGGCAAAAAATTTGGTTTCTGCTGGAGAAAAAGGCCCCGTGTTGATCACTATCGGTATTTTAGCTGTCCCTGATTTCTAATTAAGACCACAGTAATATATAATTACTCACAGATTTCTCATTAGTGTCTTATCAAATACAAAGTATTAAATGGAAATAAACCATATTTGTATTTATTCGCACACTATATGTTTTATAGATTAAATATGCCAAAAGACATCGAAAGCATTATGCATTATCGAACAACCTATAAAAGTTTTATACACTCACATAGACACGTACACACATAAAGAAAAGGAACTTGAACTTTTCTTTAAAATTTAAAGAATGAAATAATGAGCTTAGACTTGTTTAATACGTTAATTTGCACAGAGAGTCTTGTTTCACTCACAAAATGATATAAATCATAAGCAAAATTTCACATACGAAACTCGGAGCTGAAAAATATTAGTTTCCAAGCATGTCTTAAAAATCATTAAGTATCACTCTTAAACGGAATTCTGTTGGTTGGAAAAGAAGGTACATGCCTAAAATGTACACTCAGTCCAAAAAAAAAAAAAAAAAAAAAAAAAAAAAAAAAAAGAAAAGAAAAAAAAAAAGAGAGAGAGAGAGAGAGAGAGACAGTTATATGTGTTTCGTTCTACCAGGCCGACTGACGAAATTCACTGTCTGACGTTCATGTCTCGAACGCGCGATTTAGGAAATATATTAGATTTATATATAGTATTTTTCTAACATATGTATTTTAATGCAAAATCGGACTTTCTCTAAAAAGGTACTTTCGTACTGAATTTTTTCCATATTTCTGTCATGCGCCTCAAATTATGCCAAAGTGGCAGGTTTGACAAAAGTAACAAGAGTAGTTTTTAAGGTTAAGTTCCAAAATTTTAGCTTCTCACTGTTATGAATATCCCTTTTTTTTATTGAATTTACTTAATTGCTT